TAAAATATATGATCGCGATAGTGCCGAATATTTTTTCGGGAAGTGAATCTCACGTGCGAATGATCAGTTAAATTGCGATTAAATTACTTTATGGAGTTTCAATTCCACGTACGCGAAGTACTCGTGTTAATTTTATTTGAAACTAGGATAAGTCTGTTGCTTTGAGGCTCGACTATATGCTCGTGTGTGACGTGTGAAAGTGATCCTTGGAAAAAATTAATCCCAACAAACGAAGGATCGATCTCGTAATAACCTAAAAGCATCCATGCGGCGCTTGATATCGATATCGTGTTATCATTAATCGACATAGATTTGGAGGGTGTTCACATGTCCAGCGAGATAGAATGTGTTCCGTAAATAGATTCGATTCATTTCTATTCCCTCTTTTCAAAAGACTTCTTTTATTAAAGTCCTAAAAGCATTGTTAATCAACATAGAGGTTTGGAGGATGTTCTACATGTCCAGCGAGACAGAATATGTTCCGCAGTAGATTCGACTCATTTCTCTCTTCCTTCTTTTCGGAAAACTTCTTTTATTAAAAAACACAATTCTAAAGCCATTGTGCGATTTTCGTATTTAGTTTCAGACTTTGAAAGAATATGCACATATGTATACGTGTAAACTGACATGTGAATGCGTATTTTCGTCGTGTTATCAGAAAAAATAGAAAAAAAAGTCGATCCGATTTTGATAGATCATTGACATAAAAAATATATTTTTCGCATTTCATCAAACATAATAAAACGTTCGAAAACAAAAGAAAGCGTAGCATGCACGTAGTTTAATGAAAAGAAAACTAATGTTACTCGTTTTTGTTTACTCGAATAATAGTGGAAAGAATTTCAGTGGGTAAATGGAAAATCGTCGTATTGCGGATAGCGTATGTGTATGTCGAGAAAGCCGATCTATCAGTGAGAAGAATGAAAAAAAACGAACGAAAATCCGAAGTGTGAACAATCGAACAAAAATACGCGATGCGCTTTTAAAGGTGCTGCATCGAAATGACGGAAAGTCTTTTGTTCTTATTTAAACCTGTCTTGATGATATATCAGCTGCTGACATTTAATGATTGACGGTATAACTGATTTCTCGTTTATTAATAAAACAAATACGTGGAAATATGAATATCATACAGGAAATAATCGGTAATAATTTGAGATCGTTTTATAATTTCATTTCGTTCAATTAAATAATAAAATAAAATTTTTTTCCATCGGAAAAGAACAATTGATGGAAAGGATGATATATTACAATTAATTGTTAATGTATTAAATGTTTTCCGAGAGGAAATTTATCTGTCGACTTTTAAATGATCAAGCACTGATTAAACGGCGATTGAATAATTCATAGCTCAAATGAAATCTGTAATTTCATAAATTTATTTTACGTATAATTTTCTTCTTATCTACCATCCATAGGAATTGGACTTGAGCTACTCTCTTTAGCTTTGATTGCTATTGTAATATTGCAGTAGATGTTCACTAATCAATAGCTGTTTGGGAACAACTTCCAAAATGAATGTTAAGTTTAATTTGTACTTTGCATAGACTGAAATACCTTCGGTGAGCCCCGAGAGATTTCGTACAAGCGTTCCGACTTTAACTATGGCTAGTCTATGCAATTCGAACACACGCTTGTCTGATCGCTTTGTCGCCTTCACAGGCATTGACTAAATCCGCAAGTTTAGTTCAATGCAGCTCAAGCCTGACAATAAAACACAGATAACTGAAATAGTTTCGCATGTTTTATATGTCTATCGACTGTTCTTGTAGAAGAAGTTGTTTTTAGTTAATTTAAATTCTTTCTTTATCTTCTTCTGAGACATACAGAAAACAATAGACAATTGATCAAATTTAATTAATGTTTATACAAGATCTGCGCGAGTAAAACACGAAATTAAAAGTAGAGAAATTGAAAAATCAAGAAAAAAAGGAGAGATCTCTTTAAAGTTTTTACATCTACTTCAGCTTTAACTTCTTTAATTGCGGTTTAGATGGCTTAACGAGTTGTATTGAACTAATTCGTGTATAAGATCCGTGTTATATTTGATACAATTTATGAAGATCTATTAACGGATATAATTACGAAGAGATCTATTAATAAAATACAACATAATTTACTCACTTCGTTGTTGCGCTGCCATTGTTCGATGCCTCACAGTCCTCCTCTTCCTCTTTTCGGATTTGTTGAACTCACACACACAATATTCATTAAAACACGGTTAATAATAACGCACATTAATCATCAGAATAGAATAATTGCACAAATTTACACGGCACTCCCGACATCAGTTGCACGCGACGCACTTTATTATTCATACATCGTGATGGAAGAATAACGGGAAGAGTACGAAGGTCGTTATGTTATCACTATGATCTGTTTGACATTTGCAAATCTTCCAAATTAGTACAACGATCTAAATCTCGCATATTATTTATTGGAAATCTTCAATAATTTATACCAATGATGCATACAATACATGCATATAATATAGGTATCTATAATTTATACCAACATTGTAAAAACAAAAAATTCGATGATATTAGCATTTCAATCGTGCGATACAAAAATAATGTCTGGAAATAATTAATTAAAATGACTAATTAAACGACTAATTAAAATGAAATCTAAAAATATACAATTGAAATTTACACAAAGTATATATCGCACACGTTTGTGGTGTTCTTCAAACACTGCAAACACTTCAATTCAATAAAATACTATTATTAATGGATCAATTTATCAGTTTTTTATTTTTTTGAATCATCGATGATTCATACATTTACTTTGTGCACGCAAACGTGAAGTTCATGAATCAAGTAAAATCAAGATAGAAAATCGTAACTTATTGAATGTTTAGTAATTATACGAAACGCAAAGGACAGAATATTTGGAGTCTTCCGAGTACTTCTTACGATCGCGTTTTAAATAATAATACGACAATATACGTAGAGGCTTTTATTCGCTCATTTGCCTTCATTTTTGCCGTCCGAATGATGATAATGTACGGCGACTTTATAAACGCTGCAGAAACAAATATCAAAGCCGCGCCATGCCAGTTAATTTATTGCCGAAATATTGAACGTTTTATAACACAGATTCGCGCTAAATATTCTATTCCTCAAATCAATTTCGATAAATGAACTGTTACTATATATCTCGCGTTTTGTTTTGTGAACTTATTAGCGTCGCCTAAGATAACATTTAATTTCGTTTGATTAAGAGAGCGGTTTAGAAAGAAAATACTGTTATTTGAGTCTTAATTGAACTTGCTTAAATTTAATTAAAAATATGTGTTACTAGCAAATTTTAACTATTAAATTGTTATTTCAATATCTATTTATTAAAAGATTAATTCTAAATTTTCAACTAAACTGTTTAACAGAAACGCTATTATAAATAAAGTCTTAAGGCCCGGTTGCACCAATGTTACTTTGACTTTAAGCGAAGCTTCAAACTATCTCTCCCACTCTCTCGGTTAAGAGAGAAAGTGAGAGTTTCAAGCCTCGTTCAAGTGAAAGTAACGTGCAATCGGCCTAAGACATCTGCGTTATCTGTCTTTGAACGATAAAGTTTACGTATTTTTAAATAACTATGGTTTTACAAAGCAACTTCTGTCTCATCTTGGAACATGCGACAGCACTGAGAGGTAATATCTGATGTAATTCGCAAATGTGCAGTACAAGTCCTGCCATCATATCACCTTTACAGGTACATGCTTTCATTGCATGGTGTGTGACCTTAGTTAGATCTAGGATTCGCATTACTGCGGTTTCATTAGAGTTAGGTAATAATCATTTAAACTTCACAACGGTTATGTTATTATGGTTATGTAACAGTGAGGTCTAAATATCGACAAAATTACAAGAGCGAATATAAAATTAACTTGAAATTTTTAATATTATTATTAAATCGTAAAATCGACTAATGTCAAAATTATTGCGTTAAATTCATCAAATGATAAAATGATAAATTTAAAAAATAAATATTTATAATTGGCACAAAATTATTACTAGATTAGACGCTTTGATCGAATATAGTTTTTTTCACTTGTTTCCAATTGGATATTTTACAGTTTTATGCGTTATTATACATTTTTTCAGCGATATTTTAAAATAATGAAATATAAGAATCTTGTATTACACATTTCGTTAAAACAGCTATGTAGAAAATGTATCTATCAAGAAAATGGAGTGTAGATATGTACTCAACTAACCTCCATTGTTTTCAGAGAGATACATATATCTTCTTTAAAATGTATGAGAAAATATGGAAGCATTTTCTGAATGAACTAAATTCAAAAGTTAAAAGTAATAGTAATTGATCACGTCTGTGTTTGAAAATAACGAAGATTTCGCCTATTTAACACTCATTAAATTATCATTTTTATATATCGTATATTAAATCAATTTTCGTTGTAGTTTATTAGCGGTTTTATTTTAGTTCATTGTAAAAAAAGCAGCAAAAACAAAAAAATAGAAAAGAAAGAGGAAGATTTAAAAATGATCTTTATGTATCTTATCTTGCTTTATTACATCTTTATTAAAAATATTACAAGTAAATAATAATTTATATTAATTATTATAATTATATCGCATAATTATAACTTGGTACATTTTTGGAATAACGAATTAGTATTCGTTATATTATAATTATACGGGATTTTTCGAGAATATAAATCATAATGTGCGATTACAAGGCACTCTATATTCAATAGATTTTATTTAATACTATTATAGTGAATAGAATTCATATATTAGTGATTAAATGGCAAGAAGTAAAGTAAGTTTAAATATAATATACTCTATTCGTTCGTGATGGACTTCAAAAATATCAAAGATACACCGAATGGCGCATAGGCGTATGGCATCCTATCGTTCAATTAAAATTTGTGACGTAGGATGAAAGAAAGCTAGATAAAAGAGAGAAGCAAAGTAAAGTGAACGGGAAAAAATGATGGAATGTCAACAAAGGGAAGGTGTGACAACGCGCACTAAGTAAAACCACTATATGTATTTATTTATCGTAGGGGTTTTATGATTCAAAACAGTGTTGACGCTGTGTAAATAATAGCGCCCTGATTTGGTGACGTCGGGAACACCATCCATTCTAGTTCCGCTTGATTCTTTGTGCTGTTTTGACAAAGATATGCTCGGAGAGCCTCGACGAATTGCTGAACTCCGTTTTTATCAATAATAGCTACGATGCAACCGCCCCAACTGCATTACGAAAATAACGATTTCATTTTCATTGTGAAGTAATAAAAGTGACAAATAATATGTGAAATTAATATACAACAAAATATTGAATAAACATTAATAATAAATTTAATATTATATTATCTGATAAATCCTCATCACAAAAAATACTCTGTATTTAGTACAGCGGAAAATTCAATTTAAATATAATTTACATTTTCTTGTCGTGTGTGAATATTATAATATTTTAAGTTGATGTAATAATATAACTTACCCAGCTCCTGTGAGCCGAGCGCCGAATGCACCGCAAAGTATAGCTCTTTCGACGAGCGCATCCACGCTAGGATGGCTGCACTCGTACAGTTTATAGAGACTGGCATGGCTCTTCGACATCAGGTTGCCTAGATGTTGAAGCTTCTCGTGTTCCATTATGCTGCCCTCCTCGTTTATATGGCGGAACGCGAGCACTCTGTCGGCCTCTGCGGTGTAAAAGCAGCGATGCAGTTAATCGAGCCAAGTTTACTGACCACCGCGATAATGAACCATTGCGCTTTTCAACGTGATGATGATTCAATGTAACATTTAACAGATATTTGCAGAGTGTTTAATGTGATGCTAATCGATTTGACATTAATTAATATGTGCGCTTTAGTAGCATTTACTATTGGGAAAAAGACAGATATATTAAGATAAGATATTAAGAAGGGAAAAATTAAATACAAATTTTAAACGTCATTTTTTTGTATGATTAATTTCTGCAATATTTAAGGCTCCATATATTTGAAAATGAATTATACAAAAATGGCTGAAATAGGCTGCATGTTCACTGCTATGATAAATTAATAGTGCAAAAAATAAATATGATTTAATTTTTCTCAAAACAAGAAGTTTTTAGTATATTTTTATAAGTCCATTCTACCAATTGCAAATGTTTTATTGAAAAAAATATTTTTATTCAAAAATAATCCGATAGCATTTTTATCGTATGTTTTTTTGCTTCTGACGTTACAATCTGGAGTAATTAACAGTGAGGGGTAAACAGGAGTCTTAAGTTTAGAAAGTTTAGAATCGGACCTTTCAAACCTTTAAAAGTTACAATCGACATATCTAACAAAATAATTTATAGCTTCATAGAATATAGTAATGCTTGTACATACACATAATTGATTTATCGGTGCAGTTTCATGCACAAAACCAGTAGATGCTATAACTTCTGAGATTCGATCTGCAACTTTTCACGCTGCTTTTACGCTGTTGATGGTAATATCGGAGATAAGATGGAAAATACTTAAATACTTTAATAACTCAGTTAATGCGACGAAATGAAGTTCGATTTCTAACTTTTTAATAAATTTTTAAACTTTTCTAATGAGCATGAAATTCACAAAGAATTGTAATGTATTTGCTTGCGTGGCAAAGTTAAGAATATATTGGCGCATAAAAACAGGGAAGGGTTTAAGCTCATTTGATTTATCGGATTTAAAATAGCGTTTGGCGATTTACCTAGCGCATAAAAATGGATGTTTTTACCTTGAAAAACGTGCAGAGCTCGTTGCTGCAGTTTGAACGTTTGCGAGATATTAAAGGAACTGACGAGAGACGTTTTCTTCAATCGTTCGTAATCCGTACTGAGGGTCTCGCAGATCTACGAGAAAAATTTATATTCCGTCGTGATTCGAATTGTCCTTGATTCATCATTAAGACATTCATCCGATATCAAGTTTAACACGAATGAATTGCACGAAACTTTTTTTCATTATCTTTTATAGCGCAATGTATGAAATTTCCTTTTCTGTGAGATGTGCTGCTTTAATAATCTTTAAGAAGATATATACCCTTCGTTGAGAAACTGTTATACAAGAGAAAAATATCTCCCTTTTTATTTATTGTGTTACAATGTGTACCTCGTCAAGAGTATACGGTTCTTCGTGTAGTTCTGTCATTACTACAGTAACCATCTCGTCCAAATCTAAAGCGAGCCTCTCCTGAATGTCGATTAATTTTTGAACACGCTCCCAATCCATATTTCTTTTCTTGGCTATTATCTAAACAGAATATAGATAGATTTCATTGCTCAGTTGAGGGAAAGGAGATCGTGATATAATATCGTGAAGAAATTATTGTGTATTTTCATGAAATTTATATTTTTTCTCATATATTATTAAGTTCAAGATATATGGTTTTTGAGAGGAAGTAAAAGCGAAGGAAATCGAATTAGGGAAGCTAAAAGTTAGAAAATGTCCTGAATAAGTGCGAAATGCATCAATCAATGTCATTGAAGAAGCAACGAGCGTGAAACGTAAACGGGAAAAGAATTTTAATCTTTGGATAATTTTTTGTGTTTATTTTTACGAATATTTAAAGGATTTGAAACATTTTGAACCAAGAAAATAAATTAAATAGGGGCGTATAATTGTATCGTCATTTAAATTGATATTTGAAAATATATAATATTAGTTGCGACGAAAATTTTTTTTCTTAAAAGATGCGATATTACTATAAAAAAAATATAAATACCTGTGCGGCAAATCGGGTTATGATATGCTTGACTATGTGCTATTACGAACACTGCATTTTCTGGCAATGTTACATCAGTTGCACGCAGGGGATTAAACTCTATCAACTTAGCCATACCTTTACGAATAAACAGACAATTGCGAAAAACCGATATATTTTGAACTTTTTAATATGAATCTAGAATCTTGTGATCGCAAAATTATATATATAAACAGTTTTGAGAATTACCATAAATAGATTGATTCACAAGAAATATTTTCTTCTAATTATTTAATTTTTAAAGATATATCTTACACAATTTTATTATGATTTAATTTCATATAAGAATAACAAGGAAGAATCAAGTGAAACTAACAAAAATAGGTGAATAAATAACAATATTTTATTCATATAAATTAATGAAAGTCGGAATTACCTGCTTTCCCAAGAAAAGCGATAGCTTGATCCATTCCACCACCTTGAGTGCCGATATATCTCTCTGCTCGAGCACTGATAGTTGCCAATTCATGCTTCGATAACTGGTGCTATAATGTACAAGTAGCTTATACTATTATCACAAATATCTGTGATAACGACTACAATTTCTATTGATACTTTATTAAGACGAGATAATAATCATAATCTGAATAATAAATATATTTATAATTTAAAATAACAGTTTTGCGAAATAAATTTAAGATAAAAATAAATTTAAGATAAAAATTCAAACTAAAGAAATAAAAAATCTAAGCTTTATAGAAAGCTGAAAGGTATGTATATATATATATATATATATATATATATATATAAATATAAAGATAATGCTACTTGAAAAATAATACAAAGCATTAAAGGAAGTATCTCAAAGATCCGCAGTATCTATGTCGCTTTCGATATCCGTTCGAGCACACAAAACCGTCCAAGACATTCCAAGGAAATAGGATCTAAGAGCATAGAAGAAGTAATGGAAGAATACTATACGAAGTAGTGATCGGTATTTTGATTCACTTGGCCAAACACAATACCTCTCAGCACTTAGTACTTGTGACATCGATAAATATACGATATCTCGTTTCTACATCGTTCGTATAAGTCTGTTGGAAAACAGAAAAGTCTAACTGGAGAATTAGGCGATAGAATTGTCGAGTATATAATCATGCATCAAAGTAGAAAATATCCAATTAAAGTCTAAAAGAGTAGTTTGCGAACTTTCGGAACTACATCCATTCATGCGCAGCACGTTGCTTGTTAATTATATTTTTTTACAACAACAATAGAACAGGGCTAATAAAAGTATGACCCAATAAACATAGCACAATTCATTTTACAAACTAGTATACAAAATTAATGTTCACAATAAATAATGTTCGAACATTTCAACTCACTTTGGAGTTTTCATCATTCATTATTCATAATGAATAACCTTCAAAATAAATTGAAACGTTCGAATACTTATTTATTACGAACATTAATTTTAAACTAGTTTCAGTTTAAAATTACTTGCGCTTTGTTTACCGCATCGCACTTTCATTAGCCTTACTCTATTATTGTATATTATTATATATTTTTTTTTAGATAGACATGACGCTTGTGATGTTATTTCGTAATACGGGGCGGAAGATGTGATAATATTAAACGTTTCGCGCGTAAGATGAATAATTAAAGTACTCACCTGACTAGCGTGTACGACCGAGAGGAGCGCGGCCGAGACCAACGCGCTGGAACTCGAAAGGCCAGAATTAGGGAGAATGTTTCCCCATACCGCAATCAGAATTCCCGTTGGAACTGACTCCGCCGGGATTATTTCCAGCGCTCCTTTTACACCGCATAGAAAATATTTATACCATGCCGGCCCGCTTTCGCTATCGCTAATATAAGATCTGAAACGCGGCAAAACGTGATTATGCTACATTTACACGGAAAGAAGATTTTGCTGAAGTATTAAACAATTTAATTAGATACAGATTTGAAAATAATTTTATTTGGACCCTCAGAATAATTATGTAGAACGCCCGAACTATTTGCCATAGTAACATTGCTCAAATTAGTTACTAATTAGTTTGGGTAAAGTTACTTCAGCGTTTTTAACGTGCTTAAACGTACCACATAATTATTTTGATGGTCTAATAACATTATTTTCACACAGATCTGTATCTAGTTAAATTTTTAGAAATTAAATATTTACTTTTAGAAATTAAATATTTCAGCAAAATCATTCATTCTGTGTATGTACATTTATAGAAATATTTAACTCTCGGTATTAAGGTGTTGCGAAAGGAAGATTATTATTGTCAGATATTTTATTCATATATTTAGTCCTTTTTACTGCCTTGTCTGTTATCATTGTAAAAATTAACGCGTACATATATAACGGAAAAATCGGAAAATCGATAATGGTATAGATTCGCTAAGTCTGTCATCTGAGTTATATGCTATCCGACGTGGTTGCGCGACATTGAATAATGAATGAGATTAAGAAAGTTCATATTATCTTCCTCGGTATTATACATGGAGCAAAGAAAGCACGGAGGTAATTTAATCCAAACGAGAGCGAGGTTGCGCGCGAGCACAATATCATCTGCTTTTCTTACATTACGCGTAGCACAAGTTCATTGGTGATCCGTTGTTTTTTTTTACTCGATCTTTACATCGTAAAATAACTGCCATGTTTTTTCATTTAGATTAATTTAATTGTGAATGTGGATTTTATCTCAACCAATGCGAACGCACGTACACTGTACGGATAAATCGCACATAATTCTAGTTTCAGCGTCATAATCCAAGATGGCCGCGGTAAGGGATCAGCAGGCTTAAATTGTTAGGGAGCTATAAGTGCTTATAAGTGCCTAAGACCACAACTGTGAGCACGACGTGCATTATGGAGGTGTTACATTATATGCCACGTGCGGTATAGTTTGCTATATATTAAATACGATATGTATCGTAAGATCTTAGTAATCTCGAGTTTCTTTAAAATGAATGTATCGTTCAATTTCTACAAACTATAAAGTTAATCGAAAAATTCTCAAACTTATCTAAACTATTGATTCTATTTATTGATTCCATCTATTGTAAATGAATTTAGATTCCTATCAAATTACACGCTTACCCTGTGTTGTCGAAACTGCATCGGAAGTCTTCGTATTTCGAATCTACATTGGTGAGATGAATTTCATTATCTTTCGATAATGTTACCGCGACAAGAATATCTTGTTCAATAGCCATTGGACAGACTGAATATCCGCAATAATCAATGTGCTCGCCTATCAGATTAACTCTGTAACGGAACAGAAGTATTTGTAAATGTATTTATAGTTAGCAAAATAACTTGCAGAATATCTAGAAGCTATGGCTCATTTTCAGAATGCATTTATGATGTCAGCGCGCATTTAATATACATATAATTACATTACATATAGAATTTCAGAAATAAAAGCGCATATTTATTAATAAAAGCGCATTCTGAATGGGTCTATAAATCTTATGTAAATGTCGCGTTTTCAAAGTTAAGATATAAATTATTTGACGATTAAAATAGAATCCGTATAATTATGTTATACATAATGTCTTATATATGTATTAAGTATCTTAGATAATAGAGTTTGTAAGGCTTAAATTTTTTATTAAAAAGAAATTTACCTTCCTGGCACTCTAACGATAAAGGAAGGCTCTACATTGTATTTGGTGATGAAATGAGCTGCCAAAGTCTTCAATCGCGGTAAAATATCAGTGGTAGGTGCCAAAATAGGCACAAGATCATCCGCCTCGACACAGGCTCCATTAGCTTGATAGGACATTTCAATAGACCTATGCAAAAACGTAGAAGTTCTCCTAAAATCGCGGGATGCTTCCAATTATCTCGAATGTTATGGAATAATTTGCATTACATCGTCTTGAATATTTTATCATCATTTTCATCGCACAGTTAACCTAACGAAATTATGCCATGTGATGCTTGATTAAATTAAGCTTAAATTAAGATTAAATTAAATTAAGCTTTGCTTTGGTATTGGCGGTAACTTTGTTGATAATTACGATACTATTTCAAGTTAAACTACATACAGGAAATGCATTGAATAGGAATCAGCTTGTATAGCAATACAGTTGCGCATTTCCAATTTAAGTCTTTTATCTTTGATCTAACTGTGATCATGTAATAAGAATACATTTAGAAGACAATATATAATTTATATCAATACAATCAAATAATGTCTATTCAATACTGGATGAAAATGTGAAGATTATTTTATTTAAATTAACGTAATTGTAATCACAGACGTTTTGATTCTGTTTCAGATCCTTATCAATGCTCCATGTAAATTGTTAACAAAATTCAGTCATCTAATATAAGAGTAGTAATGTATTAGGTGTTGGAATTAATTCGTAGCGTTTTACAAGTGATGGGAAGTACTTTCATTAATGTATTTTTTAATGCTCATGTGAAATAAATAACATTCTTTCATTAAAAAACGCTACGAATTAATTCCAACACCTAATAACAGTGATGTCATTTAGGATCCGGAACAGAATCGAAATATCTGCGATTACAATTATGTTAATTTAAATAAAACAATCTTCACATTGTCATCCAGTGTTGGCTCGAATAGGCATTATTTATATTGCATTGATTTATCTCAATCGAGTTTTAATACTTACGATTAGATTGACAATTATATTGATAATTTATATAATAATATATTAATTTCTCTTTAGACATATTTAAATAATTTAAAATATGTGTGTGTGTGTGTGTGTGTGTGTGTGTGTGTGACATAATATAGGTAAATATCTAGTAGAAATATATAAAGTATATTCTAAATACGTTTAAATAATTTCAATAATATATTAAATATATGGAATTGGTTGATATGATTTTTATATCTTCATAATTTATAGAAAGTAAAACGAGAATATTTTCAAGAAAATAATTCTTGACTTTAATCGTGCTATCACAAAACGATAATTTAAAAGATGACTCTCTTTTACAAGATTGAAAGCAAGCAATAATAAATAATAAAAGTACATACTAAATTTTTAGCGATTAAATTTCATTACAGTGTAAAGCCTCTATCTCTTGGGGTTCACTGGTCTTATTCAAACGTTCATTGAGGTCATGCAGTACGGCTCGCCTTTTAATTCTAGGAATGGCATTTGATGGAAATGACGTTTAACATGTATACACGGCGAAGTGGCTCGCAACGCAAACCGCATAACAAAATCTGCTTCATCGAGAAATTAATGACGAATTAATGTAGCATTATAAGCTGAATAAGATTTGCAAAGCCATTAATACATGATGGCATAATTACATTTGTTGTTGCGCTAGAAATCAAATGATCAACACTACAACAATAGGATAACTCAATATATCGACCTAATATATTTTACGAGTTTCTTTTGAAAATATTTATTCGTATCCATCTCCGAAGGTATTGCACGAAATGAAAACTTCCTTACAATAATTAGGTCTTGTTTGTAGTTTGCATTATCCAGTTTATTATAAGCTTTAATATTTGTTTCTTTTATCAAATGATAAGATGTATACATGTACAAATGATAATGTTGTCAATTATGGTCAAGTGCTGCATAATACTTCAGTATACTAGTATTTATATCAATTAATATTTATATCAATTAATATAATATTTAATATTAATATTTATATCAATTAATATAAAACAGATATTTTAAACATGCATAGTGAACATTATGCATGATAGGGAGGGGCTTAGTTTATTAATAAAGCGGAATCGCTAGCTTAAATGTTATTCTCTCTCTCTCTCTCTCTCTCTCTCTCTCTCTCTCTCTCTCTCTCCCTTTCCCTCCCCCCTTCCTTCCTTCCCCCTTTGTCACTTCCCTTCTCTTCCTCTTTCTCTTTATTTATCAACCTGTGATATATACTGTAACAAAAAGTATGTAAAATTACATAAATATGTATATATAAAAATACACAATTTATGTACATATACAGGCTGTCTCACCTAACTCGAGCATCTGAAATATCTTGCTTGGTTTTTATAATATGAAAAAAATATTTCAGATTTCAGAAAGTGAAACAGTTTCGAGAAATATATATTTTGATTATGTTTTTTCTAGGTGGAGGTTCATATCAAAAGATATGAAGGTCTCCATTTTTTTAAATGGAATTGTATGTTTTTTTTATACAATATGATTATTCCTCTAATTATTCTGCATATAAAAGTATTAAAGTAATGATATAAAAAAACTAATAGTTTACAAGATATACTTTATACTTTATTTTGACATGATATAAAATATTAAATAATTCGTAAACTATTAATTTTTTGATAATCGTACCTTAATATTTTTATGATCAGAATAATGAGATGAATCAATTAGTGGAAAGAAAACACATAGTGGCTTATTTAAAAAACTATCTGTTTTGTATATTATTTTAAAGTTGTCTGAATTTGTTGCTCTCGGAATATGCAAGTTATGAATTTGTTGCTTGAAAATCAAGTATAAGTAATAACGAAAAACCTTAGCATGCTAACAAATAAGAGTAAAGTTACAAAAAAATTTCGTTACTTAAATGTAAATTTGTTATGATATAAGTTAACGTGAATCATATGGATCTGATATATAAGTGTTTTTACAATTACTCATTTCTTTATACTTTACTTTATATTATATGTGCTAGTCATAATTAATATCTTGCTCTACAGAATATAATAGAATAACTGTATGCAATAACTTATCAAATCGACTGATTTAAATCTGTGACAAACTGAATTCTCGATAACAACCGAGAAATTTAGTAAAACATCTTTACTCTTGAACAATATGTAACAATCTACTGAAGTATCTCTTTTTATTATAATGTTTCGAAATAACATGCTATATTGACTTTCGATTTTCAATATCATAAAATATCGAAAGTCTTTAAATTTATTTTTACATTATTTGCGCACTATTTACCCGCTGATTTTGTAAAACCAACTATTTTTCTCTTACAATTTTAATTATCAAGAGTTCCATTTGCTTTTTAATGAAAAATATATATATAAAGTATATGCCATGAATATCTTATACTAAGAATTGTACGTACAACTATATTGTATTCTAAATTGTATTCTACTTTTATCTTTTAATTTCATAACATTATCAACAATAACAATAGTATAAGGGAACGAGTACATTTGAAAGAGAGAATAATATCAAAATATATATGATGAGATATTGGAAACTCTATAAGAAATAGTGTTAAGGATGGCAGACTATGAAATTCGCGGTGATCTGTGGAACACTATGATCAGGAAAGAACATATATCGGATTGTTTTAAGAAAAATATTAGGTGTTGGAATTAATTCGTAGCGTTTTACAAGTGATGGGAAGTACTTTCATTAATGTATTTTTTAATGCTCATGTGAAATAAATAACATTCTTTCATTAAAAACGCTACGAATTAATTCCAATACCTAATATAAGACCATTTACAGATTCACAGGAGAGTCGATGAAGGCGAGAATGACCGATGATGCGTCATAAAGGAAACGTGAGATATCTTACGGTGCATTCCTAATTTGAATATGAGTTGTTATAAACGACATGTTAAGAAAACCGTCATTATACATAAAGCACTGAACGTGATAGGAATTTCGGCTAAACGAATGAATATTGCTATTTATTCGAACTAATTAGTTTGACTATATTAGTCATGTGATAATTAAATTAAATAGATTTATAATTGCAGTATTATTAAGAAGTTATAATTATGAGAGTTTGCGTTAAAAAAGGATATAAATTTTATATTTATATTCTTATTTACATCATTTTAGATATCTTCATTTATTGTGAAGCCCAATACCGAGAACCATGCAATCAATGTATTTAAATTAAAAAAGATACATTGTAACATTGTTAAATTATTTATATGTTAAGATATTTTTGCGTATTATTTTATCATATATTTTGCATATTTAATATAAAATTTTTTTATTGGTAGTGTATAATACTGGAAAATTTCTAGGTATCGGCTGACATGAATAAATATATGCTATCGAAACTAACGAGAGTTTTCTACTAAAATTAATTTATATTAATAAAAATAAACTGTAGAGGAAAAATTTTTATGAAGAGATACTATCAATATTTGCTTCTGGATTTGGCTATTTGTGTGCTATATATGCATTGCACGTTCGTTAGGCACGTTCCTGCTCCTTTTCTCCTTTAAAAAGAAAAAAACCTAATAAAAAGACTGTAAAATTGAAGCTTCTTCTTTTTTCAAGAAAGGATTAGTAAGATAGTTTGAAAATTTGTTAATAATGAATCATTAGAAATATTACCTTCTGTGCCAATAGCAATATTTCAAATTCTCCTAATGTTTAGAAGAATACAATGGTAGATTCATTCTTATTTTCATGTTCAGATTCAACTTCTGGAATTTTTAATTTTGAATTATCTTTTAACGTGGAAGCCGTAATTTCGTGATTGACATTGGATTCGATCGATTGCGTATGCAATTTTTGTATTGGTTGTTCAGTAAGATATTCCAAACAATCTTTTATAATAGTGTACGTTTCATTTTTGGACTTTTCTGTATATATTACATGTGTATAACCTTTAGACAAGCGATACAAAGTCATCATGAGTTGCATCATTCTTGCTTTATTACAGGGATTCTCCAACTTCTCGAAATATTTTTGCCTCAAAAATTTGTTAGACAAATATCTTTCTGACAACAATAAATCTATTAGGGGAATTGTGAGTATATCTGAGAAGGGTTCATAACTTGAATTTTTCACATATAAGTTTACATACTCTTCGAGTATATTTTGTACATTAG